ACACCCCCACCCCCACCCCCAAGGTAATTGGTTTTCTGGAGTGGTGGCCATGTGGAGATGAAAAACAATCGGCAAACCCCTTAACAGATGCTGTAATTACCTGAGCAGTGCACGAATACTTGAGCATAGTCCTTTACACTTTTTTGTGTTTAAAGAATGCTGAGAGTTCTCTGATCTGTGTGTTTACAGGAGGAGACTGCTTTGTTCCCAAATCCTGCCCACAGTCCTCTCCACTGGATGAATACACCACTACCCCATGTCTAGACAATTTCTAATTTGGGTGCCATGCATTTTTGAAATTAGGAGTGGCCTAGGTCCCTGCAGAGATTAAAAAAATTAAAAATACTTGCTCTGCTTAATGAGTCAGTTTAGGTTAATCTGAAGCTGAGTTACTGGAGGCAGTAAAGTGTCAGAGGCTCTCAGACCACAGCATTAAGAAGAGAGGATGGATTGAAGATCTAAATTAAAGGTGTGTGCAGGACTGTTTTTATTAACCCTACTACTGCCCACACCTGAATGAATCCTAGCCAATCCCATATGCTCCCACATTTACTAATGTTTATACCTGCCCATGATTATTTTGTAATATCTATTGCCTGAAATATAAACAAATAAGTACTGTAAACTACAGTGACCATGACCAGGATAAAGAATTTATCGAAAATGAATGATGAATGAATGAATCCAGTAACCCTATTCTGCAATGCTATGTGAGCACTGAACTGCATACAATAAGCTCCCATGTTAATCAAGTTTGTCTATCTTTGTCCCATCAGCTTGCCACCCACATGAGAGTAAAAACCACCACCCTTTTTTTGTCCCTCTGGATCCTAGTTGTGATGTTTTGATTTTTCTGATGTTCCCGATGAAGATTTTTCCCCATTTTCTTCCCAGTTTGGTCACCTGCCAGGGCCCACCTATCAGCTAACTCTCCCTATCATATGATCACTATCAACTAAGAAGGGGAGAAGGCTAACATGCGCTTCCACAGAGACATGTGAAGACAGCCAACCACATCTCTTCAAACTGCTGCATCACAGGGCAGCGTAACACACACAGAAGAAAACACTATCTGCATTCTTCCATGCACATGAGCTCACAGATGCCTGCGATTGACTAGTGTCACTGTGATTGACAGGAGAGAGAGACAGAGAGCATTGCCATCCTTCCCACCTAGACAGCATGTCCAATTTTGCTCCCTTGGCTTCCAGCCACAGATGGCAGCGGCATCATTAGGATTCAAACTCACAATCTACATATATACATGAATACATTCAGATTTCTCTATAGCTGTTTTGTGACAGCAGACTTATTTATATAGTGTTTTTAACATATATTGTTAAAAACACTATATAAATAAAATTGAATCAAATTTAACTGAATTGAATTAAATATCCAAAAACTCAACATTGCCATGTACTGGCACAGGCCTTCACTCTGCTAACACAGCTTTCTTCATACTTTGTCTTTTTTTTAACCACCATTTACCACAGCTTCAACCACTTTCAACCTGCAATAATGTAGTGTCTATTTGTGTCTAAAAATGAACTCATTGCAAAACAAGGTGGTTATTTCATTATGTTGTCTCAATAACCATCACTGTTTGTGTGGAATATGTTGTCATGGAGACAGCAGTCTGTCCTTTTTTTAATAATAATATCTGACGTGCAGTGCACATGTTCATGGATCAGTTAACACTTAGATGCTAGAGCTGTCTGATGAGTTCCACTTTATTGGATATCAGAGTAAACATTGCCCTTTAGTCATATGTGCGGCAGATCTGACACATAGGTAGTACGAAAGCTTCAGAGAAATCCTTTCACTTTTGATCAGAACAAGTGTAAGCACAGTTCCTGTACCAGAAAAAATATCAGCAGTTACATAACATTCACAAAAGATGGAGCGAGAGATTTCCATGTAACCATGACCACTTTCAAAAAGCCTGTCAGGCATTATAGATTTTCAAAGGATCTTTGCAGTTCTTCAGTGTGCTTTGTTTATTTCATGGTTTGTAGCATTCAATTATCAAAATAATGATTTTTTTTTCTCTTGCTACATGCTTCATGAGATCACATTTTTCATCTAATCTTTTCTACAAACTTTCTTCCTTCTTTTTTTTTGTTAATATTGATTTCCAGTACATAGTCATGCATTTAAAACTATAAACATGGAACTACAGCTCTAGCAGATTAAAATATATGCTGAATATTTTCATTCTGTTATGTGCTGGCTGAAGTAAAAACTGTTTCATTTGGAGAATGTGTGTTGTGGGGTTATGTATGAAGTGAAAAATGTTTCAAATTTTCAAATCATAAGGCATCATTTTGTCTAAGATAACAACTCATTTAATATTTTTTTAAGGATCCTCAAACTGTTCAGAGGGGAACCAGCCAATTTATCAGAAATGCCTTGACTTTCATTGTGAAATATGATCTCTGAATAAAAGACCACACTGTATATTATACTATTCAGTTTCTTTTTGACAATTTGAACTTGAATTATGCTACATTCTGTCTAACTTCCATCTGTCCTCATTGTCCAACAGGGCCATTGGCAGATCTTTTGTACTAACATAAGATCATTTATGTGCTGGGGGATAACTGGAGGTGGCACAGCTGCCATAACAATGTCAGGAGGAAAAGGGAAGCTTGATATTTTCATTGGTGATTGCAGCTTGCTTCTGGTTGCCACAATGGGGATCAGTAATGGTTGAACAAAGGCTTTCTTTTTTTCCTTAGTAGCTATACTGTATAGCAGAAGGGGAGTGCTTACTCTGGGTGTTTTTTCCTTATAGTGACATCTGTTCAGAGCCTCTGCTTTAAAGGCTTAGACTCCTCGTTTCATGAAGAGGATGTGACAAATCAGTCCATGTAGTGATGACTCATATAGCAAAAGATTTGATAAATTGATTCTACAAAGATGATTCTACACAAAAGCATTGACCTGTTTCCTGACACAGATCATAATCTATGATCAGATTCTGACCATTACCATTATGCTCTGAAAACACAGAAGTCAGTGACTTACGTATATATAAAGTGAATAAAGTTGTCTACCTTGAGGTCATTTTTAAAGTCCACCACACTTCATTCTCTTGCCCTTGGCTCAGGTGTTAATAATATTCACAATAATGTCACAAATATCCCCTCTTGTATTCTCTGCCCCTCTTATATTATAATATAATAATAATAATAATAATAATAATAATAATAATAATAATAATAGGAGGGCACAGAGGTGCAGCTGGTAGCATTGTCACCTCATTGCTCCAGGGTCCTTGGTTCGATCCTTTGATCATGTCTTTGTAGAGTTTAATATTTTTCTCCATGTTTGTGTGGGTCTCCTCTGGGTTCTCCAGTTTCCTCCCACAACCCAAAAAAAAAGGATTAGCTACATTAAATTGCTCCATGATTGTGTGTATGGTGCCCTGTGTGTGTATGGTACCGGGGTCCCATTCAGGGTGCATTCCCACCCCGCGCCCAGTGTTCTCAGGATATAGGCTCCAGATCCACCATGACCAGAATGAAGCAGTTAATATATGTATATATACACCGATCAACTACATCATTAAAACCACCGACAGGTGAAGTGAATAACATTGATTATCTTGACATTATGGCACCTGTCAAGGGGTAGGATATATTAGGCAGCAAGTGAACAGTCAGTTGTCAGAGTTGATGTGATGGAAGCAGGAAAAATGGGCAAGCATGAGGATCTGAGCGACTTTGACAAGGGCCAAATTGTGATGGCTAGACGACTGGGTCAGAGCATCTCCAAAACGGCAGGTCCTGAGGGGTGTTCCCAGTATGCAGTGGTTAGTACCTACCAAAAGTGGTCCAATGAAGGACAACCAGTGAACCGGCAACAGGGTCATGGGCACCCAAGGCTCACTGATACATGTGGGGAGTGAAGGCTAGCCTGTCTGGTCCAATCCCACAGAAGAGCTACTGTAGAACAAACTGCTGATAATGTTAATGCTGACTATGATAGAAAGGTGCCAGAAAACACAGGGCTGCATAGACGCAGACCGGTCAGAGTGCCCATGCTGACCCCTATCCACCACTGAAAGCTCCTACGATGGGCACTTGAGCATCAGAACTGGACCATGGAGCAATGGAAGAAGGTGGCCTGGTCTGATGAATCATGTTTTCTTTTACATCATGTGGATGGCTGGGTGCGTGTGTGACACTTACCTGGGGAAGAGATGGCACCAGGATGCACTATGGGAAGAAGGCAAGCTGGCAGAGGCAGTGTGATGCTCTGGGCAATGTTCTGCTGGGAAACCTGGGTCTGGCATTCATGTGAATGTTACTTTGACATGTACCACCTACCTAAATACTGTTGCAGACCAAGAACATACCTTCATGGCAACGATATTCCCTAATGGCAGTGTCCTCTTTCAGCAGGATAATGCAACCCACCACACTGCAAAAAATTGTTCAGGTATGTTTTGAGGAACATGACAAAGAGTTCAAGGTGTTGACTTGGCCTCCAAATTCCCCAGATCTCAATCCGATCAAGCATCTGTGGGATGTGCTGGACAAATAAGTCCGATCCATGGAGGCCTCACCTTGCAACTTACAGGACTTAAAGGACCTGCTGCTAACGTCTTGGTGCCAGATACCACAGCACACCTTCAGAGGTCTTGTGGAGTCCATGCTTTGATGGGTCAGAGCTGTTTTGGCGGCACAAGGGGGACCTACACAATATTAAGCAGGTGGTTTTAATGTTATGGCTGATCGGTTTATATATGTGTGTGTGTGTGTGTGTACAGTATATATATATATATATATATATATATATATATATATATATATATATTTTTTTTTTTTTTTAATATATACATACATATACATGTCTGGCCAGGTTCAGGGTCTCTCAAAGGGTGCTGAAGGCTTTCTACACTGGGGCTGTGGAGAGTCTTCTCACTAGAAAACATCACAACCTGGGTTCAGAGGCACCACGACCAAGGACCGGAATGTACTGTGGCAGTGGTAGGGCAGTGGTTGGGCAGTGGTTAGGACGTTGGGCTACTGATCGGAAGGTCATGAGTTCAAGCCCCAGCACCATCGAGCTGCCACTGCTGGGCCCTTGAGCAAGGCCCTTAACCCTCAACTGCTCAGTTGTATAAATAAGATCTAAAAAAAAAAAAAGTAAGTCGCCCTGGATAAGGGCGTCTGCCAAATGCTATAAATGTAAAATGTAAATGTACTGTCCAGAGTGGTGAAGGCAGGGGAGAAGACCATCAGGACTTCTCTCCCCTGCATCACACACATCTACAACCAGCAATGCAGGGCCAGGAACATCGTAAAAGACTCTCACCACCCAGGAACAGTCTCTTCTCAGTGCTCCCATCATGGATACACCGATACTGGATCCTGAGGACCAACACAGAGAGACTCAGGAGGAATTTCTTCCCTCAAGCAATCCGGCTACTGAATGAGGACACTTGAGAAGTCTGCATATTAACTACCTCACACACAGACACAATTGGTTGCACTATGGACAAACAAAAACTCTTCTGTTTTATGTATCACAGTTGCACAGGAAAAACATTTCACTACATTAATACATCACATGTACGTAATGTATGTGACAAATAAAGAACCTTGAAATATATATATATATATACAGTCAGGTCCATAAATATTGGGACATCGACACAATTCTAACATTTTTAGCTCTATACACCACCACAATGGATTTCAAATGAAACGATGTGCTTTAACTGCAGACTGTCAGCTTTAATTTGAGGGTATTTACATCCAAATCAGGTGAACGGTGTAGGAATTACAACAGTTTGCATATGTGCCTCCCACTTGTTAAGGGACCAAAAGTAATGGGACAGAATAATAATCATAAATCAAACTTTCACTTTTTTAATACTTGGTTGCAAATCCTTTGCAGTCAATTAC